TCCCTCCTCCCCCCCCCCCTCCCCTCCTCCTCCTCCTCTCCTCCCCCCTCCTCCTCCCCCCCCCTACCCCTCCTCCTCCTCCTCTCCTCCTCCTCCTCCTCCACCTCCTCATCCTCGTCCTCCTCCCAGTGCAACATCAAATGCAACATAAACGCATCAAATACAACATAAACCATGTGAGGACGAGGACGAGGACGAATCACCACATACAACACAATCCACGTGAGAGCTACAACGCACCCACGTTCGGAAGCGGCAGGCGCGCGAAGCAACCTGGCAAACCACGTAATAACACAACTGCAACGGAAACAGGGGGGGAGGGTGTGTTTCGATCATCCCAAAGCATCCGAAGAGTTTTGGCTTGCCGCCGCAGTGGCGGGCGCCTGGCGGGCGGTCTGCTGCGCCAGGTGAGGCGGCGGAGGCCCTGCCGGGGGCTTGGCCACCATCTGGCTTTCCGCCGCAGGGGCCGCCGCCGACCGCGCCCGCCGCGGCCGCTGGCCGGCTGCCCACGCGAACGCGTTATTCAGACCGCTGTCTGGCCCCCGCCTGTCCGCGCCATTGGAGAGCCAGCCAAACCAGATGCGGCGCCGCGTGGCCAGCCAGTCCATGAAGACCTGACGGTCGTCGTCGTCGTCGTCGTCGTCGTCGTCGTCGTCCTCCTCCTCCTCCTCGTCCGCGTCGTCGTTTTCACTCCTCGTCGTCGACGTCGTCGTCTTTGTCGTCGTCCTCGTCGCCGTCGCCGTCGTCGTCGTCGTCGTCGTCGTCCTCCTCCTCCTGGTCGTCGTCGTCCTCGGCGTCGCCCCCCTCCCCCTGGTCGCCCTCCTCGTCGTCTCCTTCGTCTGGCGCCCCGCCGCGCCACCTGGCAGCGGACGCCCGTGATGCGGCGCATGATGGCCGCGGTCACCACTGGCGCCCTGTGCGCACTCTGGTTGCAGTGGATGAGCACGTCGAAGCCAGCCGCGAGGGCGTCCGTGAACTGCGGCACGAACGCGTCGAGGTTCTCGTCGGCCACCCTGAACCTCCCACCCGGGTCCACGCGAGTCCAAACCAGAACCTGGCTTCTCGCCGCATCTGGGTAGTTGAAGGGGTCGCGGCCGTGCGCGCAGTCCGCGACGCAGCGCGCGCGCGCGGCATCATCGGCCCAGAACGTGCGGTTCTCCACCTGGCACCGCTCCGCGAGGAGCACCCGCCCAGCGAGGCTCTGCGGGGCCCCAGGAACGGCCGCCGCGGCGAACCTGGTCGGCTCCTGCCGCCCCGGGAGAGCCCCCCCCCCCCCCCCTCCCTCAACATCGCGGGCGCTGGTGGGGCGCTGGCTTAACGCCGAAACCCAAAGCGAGGGCGCGAATGGGGGCGAGGGCGAGCGAACTCGAGCCACAATGGCAATTGCGACGACGACGGCGTCGGCAGCGGCGGAGAAGGCCGAAAAAGATAGCAGATGGGGAGGGTAGAGAGGGATACCATAGGGAGGGGCAGGGGGATGGATTGAGGGAGGGAGGGAAGGAAGGATTCTCATGGCGAGGCGGCGCGATGCTGACACCATGATCAATCAGAGGGCGCGCGGCGCAAGCCCACGGCGCCATCGGCCGCTTCGGCCAGATCTTAAGTCGCCTTTGCAACGCGGGGCCATATGCCCCGAACCTACCAAAGCATTAGCCTACCACCTGCGGCGCGCTCGTGGTTGACCTACGGCGACGTTGCAGGGGGCAGCGAGGCCGCGCAATCACGCGCTACATGACGAACAAAGCCTTGCGGTGGATGAACATGCTACAACTGAGACTAGGTAAAGGGAAACACAACATATCACAAATGAGGCCGAGCACGGGACCCAAGTCAATGTTGCGTTCCCGCCGTCGCTTCTCCTTTTGAGTTCTTCGCGCTCCGCGTCCTCCCCCTCCCCCCACCCCCCCATCCTCCTCCTTCACTGCCTACTCCCTACCCACCGAAGTACAATCACACCATCGTCGGCTTCGTTACTCGCGAAGCGTTTCGCAGTGGCCGCCCATGGCCTGGCCACCCCTGTCATCGCAGAGAGCACTGCAGCGCGAACGACCACCCACTGACCCTATGAACGCTCCTTTTTTTGCTGACCCTATGAAAGCTCCTAGTAGCGCGCTCCAATGGAAAGCGTCCCAACAAAGATCCTTTGGACAAAAAACACAGCGGGATTCTACGGGAAATCCTCGCAATGGAAATCGTTTGGAACGCGCCGCAAAGCGGTCCAATGGGAAGAAAACACAACAGGAATCCGCTGGGAAGCACCACAATGGGATTCCCACAGGGATGCATCACAAAAGGAATCCGTTGGAAAACACCACAACGCGATTGTATTGGAAAACCTCTCAATCGGAATCCATTGGGAAACACTAAAATATCAGCCAGCGTTGACTCCGAATAGATAGGAGGACAGGAGGATGACGAGAAGAGGATGGGAGGAGGACGAAAGGAAGACGGGAGCAGAACGGGAGGAGAACGGGAGGAGCAATATCAAGCAGGCGCAAGCAAGCAAGCGGAAGCAAGCAAGCGCAAGCGTGCAATACAAAGCAGGCAAGAGCCAGCGATCAAGCGCAAGCAAGCAAAGGCAAGCAAGAGCAAGCACGCGAGAACAAGCACGCGAAAGCAAGCAAGCAAGTGTCATTGGACAGAGTGGGGGCGCCAGTGGAAAAGGGGGGGGTGCCATTGGAAGAAGGGGGGGTCCTAAAGACCAATTGCTTATGGGCTAGGCTCTATAGGGCAAACCTATTTGGAGAAAAAGATTACATTGGAAAACCTCGCAACAAACATCAATTGGAAAAAAACACAACGGCATTCGATTGGAAACCGTCACAATGGGAATCCTTTGGGAACGCCACAAAAGGGGATTCTATTGGAATCCTCACAACAGGAATCCTTCGGAAAGCGCCCCGAAGGGAATTCTATTGGAACGCCTCTCAACAGGAATCCAAAGGGATTCTATTGGAAATCCGCGCGCATGGATTTCATTGGAAAGCACCGCGAAGGATATTTTTCCCACCCACCCCCCTTCCCCCAAAAAAAACACAACAAACAAATGCCCATTATGATGTTCATATTTGTTTGGGATGGACAGATGGAACAAATAGAAACCGTCACCATGGGAATTCTTTGGAAACGCCACGACGGAAATTCGATGGGAAATCCTGACAAAAGGAATCCCTTGGAAAGCGCCGCAAAGGGAATTCGATTGGAATGCCTGTCAACAGGAGTCCATGGGAAAACACCCCAGAGGGATTCTATAGGAAATCCGCACAAAGGGATTTCATTTGGAAAGCGCCACCATGGATTTTTCTCGCCGGCCCCGAAAAAGAAAAAGAAACAAACAATGGTAGGACGACGCCAGCAGTTTTTTTTTTGTGGGGGGAAGAACAAAACAAAAAAGCCAGTGCTCCTTCTGGGAGGGGGAGGAGGACGACGAGGAGTTGTGTGAGGATGAGTAGGAGGAAGAGGAGGAGAGAGGAGGAGGAGAAAGAGGAGGACGAGGAGGAAGAGGAGGAAGAGAAAGGATGCGATACCCTTAGGAAAGCAATACGAAACCACCATCCGAAAGGCGAGGTCCGCCACAATTTCCCCGTTTTCGAGGAGGATGAGGCCAGGAGAGGGGCGACGAGGACGAGGCAGGATGAAGAAGGAGAGGAAGAGGAGAAGGAGACGCAGGAGGCGGAGGGAGGAGGGAGGAGGAGGAGGTCCCCAGGGAATGGTCCGGACCTTTGGAGAGCCACGTCGCGAAACAATCCCGACGCCAGGTGTCTGGGGCATCTGGCATGCTGCTTCGAGCTGCCCCCTCGCGCGCGAAAGGAGGCCTCGAGGGACATTCAGGGAGCAATCGGGGCTCGGCGGGAATGTGGCCGACTCCTTTTCGTGCATCCAAATGGAGCAGCTGCGCGAAGTTGCTGCACTTGCGAATCGCGAGCTTGGCCACTCAACGACGACTCAGTCGCACGCGTCACGACTCCACTGCTACCTCTCTCACCCCGTCGTCCCCCGCCTCCCCTGTCTCCCTCCTCTGCCCCTCCCGCCGCTCACCCACCCATTGCTCCTTTCCTTCCTCTCCTCCCTCCCTCCGTCCCCCATCTTCCTCCTTCCAACCCTCCCCGTCTCCTCCGCTCCCCTCCCTTTCTCATGCTCCTTTCCACCTGTGACCGAGTCCCTGCCCCTCTGCCCAATTCTCCCAACTCTGCCGCGCCTTCTCTCCCTCTCCCTCTCTTCTCCTCCGCCCCTGCATCTCTCCTTTTGTTTCTTGTGCTTCTCTCTCTCACTCTACGCGTTCTCGATCTCACTCTCTCTTTCTCTTTTAGTTTTCTTTCTTTCTCTCTCTGACTGTTTCTCCAGATTCGTCATCGTCGTTGTCGTCTCCCTCTGTTTTCGATTTCCCTCGTCGCCGTCGACGCTGGAACAAAAACTTACACGGCGATTCGGAGGTCCGCGCGGACCTCCGAACATTCATTTCCCACCCGACAGGCTGGGATTGTTAGATTCTTCGAACTCCCGAACCGCCTCGTAGGCCCTGCATGCCGCGGCCGCCAGGCCCAAAAGGGGCCGGTGCTCCCTGGGTATCCCGCCTCGTGCCTTCGACGCTCGACGACTGCGTACAGCTGTCGCCGTCGCCAGTCTCAACGTGTGCTCGTGCTCCCTGGGTATCCAGCTTCGCGTTCTTCGGCAACCACATGTGAACCCTACCCCTGCAGATCCGATTTGTACAACACTAGCGGGGGTTCAGAGTCCACAAGATGTCTGCAGCCTTGTGAACCCCAACGGGGGCGTCCGATACCCCAGAGTCGATCGGACCCGCAGGGGTAGGTTTCGCAAGCGGTCGCAGAGTTCTTGAGCGGGGATCGCTCGAAGCCAAATAATGGTTATGTCGGCGGCGCACCTGGGGGGAAATGAAAGGGGGCAGGCCTTCTAAGAAGGCGGCGGGGCTTCTCAGATGCCCTCTGGCCTCCTGAGAAGCCGTCTCTGTCTTCGGAGACGGCCTGGAACACATCTTGGAGGGTCCGAGGCTCCCTGAGCCTTCTGAGCAGGCCCGCCCCCTCTGCATTCCCCCCTGGGCTCGCCGCCGATTATGTCGTTTTCCTTTTTCGACGATCTGTTGACCCGGGTCAAAGCAAACCCTGGTCAGTCAGGCCGTGTAGGACCCTGCAGGATCCTGCAGAATCCTGCAGGATCTTGCACCCAAGCCCTGGCCAGTGCAGCCCTGGCCCTGCAGGATCCTGCAAGGTTTGGCGCTCTGACTAGAGGCCTCCTAGATGGGGTCCGAGTGGATGGGTAGGAGGATCGCGCCGCATCGCCGATGCATCACCGATGCATCGACGATGCATCGGCGACGTCGGCAATGCGTCAGCGGCGTCGGCGTGAAGAAACTCGGCTCCGCATCGAGCCGCATCGCCGATGCATCGGCGATGCGGAATGATTCTTTTCGGCCCCATCTACTCAGACCCCATTTGGAGGTCTAGACTGACGGACCCCCGTTTGCATTGACCCCCGTCTCGTGAACCCCTTCTCTGGAAGGCCCCCGCAGACACCGGCCGCCCGCCTGGTGAGCTGTGGCTGGGTCGGCGCCGCGCGCAGCACCATGGCGTGGCCTGGGCCCCCCGTCTCCCTGACGTGCGGGCGGCCCGGGCCCTGGTCAGCGCGCTCCCTGATTGAGGAGGAGAGGGAGAATCGGGGGTTGTTGCAGGTGTCCCTGGCCCAAGATACCCCCAGCTTCTCGCTGGGGCCCCATGGGCCTCGTGAGGGGTGCTCTGGAGCCCGTGGGGGCCTCCTTCGAAATCCTGGGGGCACCTTTGGCCAGGGGCACTTCCAGTGACAACCGAGAGAAGGATACAATCGAGTTTAATCGGAGGGGCACGCGAAGGAGGACACGAGGCTCCCGAGATGGCTCACGAGGCCCCCAAGACGGCCTCAACATGGCCCAGGAGGCCCCCAAGACGGCCCAAGAGGGCTCAAAGGGACCCTCCAGAAGAGCCCGAGGATGCGAAAACATGAAGTGCCCCTGCAGTCGAGGCTGATTGGAGAGGGCGCGCGAGAGGACAGAAGATCTTTCCGAGGGCCACATTGCCATAGAAATGTAGAAGGCACGTGCCACTAAACCCAAGGCGATGAAAGACTTCAGGGACATTGCGCCACTTCCGAGCCCGAACCGTTCTCACCTTCGCATGACGAAGGAATTTCCCCTCGAGGTGAAAATGTGGATGAGGAGATCGCGAGACAACGTCCGCGCCGCCGAACGGACGTGCAACCGGGAGGAGAGAGATGAATTCGTGTTGAGTGGGGCCCGTGTGTGCGGAGAATTTCGGGGCCGCGCAAACATGGATTTGCGACCCATGGATTTGGCGCGCGCTCTCCAATTCCATGGATCGGGGGAGGCGCCCTCCCAAAAAAGCGGCCGGTGCGGCCTCCTTCGGCGGCGGGAATTCGCGATTTCACATGGAAACGGAACCCGTCGCCAATCCACGCCCCCTTGATCCATGTTTGCGATCGCCTGAGAATTGACGGGAGTGCGCGAGACAGGGCAAGACCCGCACTGGAAACTTGACAACTGAACCTCCCTCCCCCGTAGAATTCTAACACGGGCGGGTCGCGGGGTCCGCGGATCCGATTTCTTCCGGTTCCCCGTTCCGGTGAATTGTGCAAACTCAAAACGGGGTAGAAATCGGATCCTCCGACAAAAATATCAGCCAGCGCTGACTCCAAATAGCTCAAATCAAGGAACCAGAGGAATCGAGCATGCTTGGAATCCGAAACTCAGCAAGCAAGCAAGCAAGCGTGCAAGCAAGCGCGCAAGCAAGCATACATAAGAGGGGGGGTGCCATTGGAAAAAGGGGGGGATAGGCATAGGCATAACCATAGCCATAGGAATTAGGGGGGGGCATAGGATTTAGGGGGGGGCAACGGAGCAATTAGTAGGGTTTGAGGTTTGAGCTAGGACTCCTAAAGGGCAAGCCTATTTGGAGAATTATCTCGGCGAAAGACCCAAGCATTTGTGAGTACCGTCGTTGTGGGTCTCGCCGTAGGTGGAGTTCCTCACTGGCCCACGAAGCGTGTGAATGGTGTGCCAAAATGGGGCGGGTGCTGCCTCCGGGGCCTGAGGTAGAGCCCCTTTTCACAGCCCACAAAACGTGTGAGCAGTCTGCGAGAGCAGGGCAGAGCCGCCATGCGGCCGCTGCCACTGGCACCTTCGCTGGAGCTCCCCATGGGGCCACGAAACGTGTGAGGGTGTGCCGAAATGAGTGGCCGGCACGCATGCGCACTGCGCCACTGGGACCTTAGGTGGAGCTCACCATGGGGCCACGAAGCGTGTGGGGTGTGTGTGCTGAAATGGTGGACATGCGGAGAGCAGAGGCAGGGATGGGAGGAGGGAGGAGGGAGGAGGGGGCAGCGGGAGGTGAGTGGCGAGGGGCGCTGTCTCTTCAAAACGAGGACCCAACACCACCGGGACGCATGCGACCTGCGCCACTGGGACCTTGGGTGGAGCTCCCTGTGGGGCCAGCAAGCGTGTGAGGGGTGTGCCGAAATGAGTGCCCGGGACGCATGCGAAGTGCGCCACCGGGTCCCTAGGTGGGGCTCCACATGGGGTCACGAATCGTGTGTGGCGGCATGAGCGTCCAAGACGCATGCAAACTGCGCCACTGGGCCCGTAGGAGGAGCTCCCCGTGGGGAAACGTGTGAGAGGTGTGCCGAAATAGGTGGCTGGGACGCATGCGAACTGCGCCAGTGGCGCCTTCGGTGGAGCGCCCCATGGGGCCACAGGGTGTGCCGAGATGGGTGGAAAGGACGCAAGCGAACTGCACCTCTGGGACCTTAGGTGGAGCTCTCAATGGGACCACAAAAAGATGTAAGGGTGTGCCGAAATGGGTGGCCGGGACGTATGCGAACTGCGCCAATGGGACCGTAGGTGGAGCGCCCCATGGGGCCACGAAACGTGTGAGCGGGACGCATGCGCACTGCGTCACTGGGACCGTAGGTGGAGCGCCCCATGGGGCCACGAAACGTGTGAGGGTGTGCCGAAATGAATGGCCAGGACGCATGCGAACTGCGCCACTGGGACCGTAGGTGGAGCGCCCCATGGGGCCACGAAACGTGTGAGCGGGACGCATGCGCACTGCGTCACTGGGACCGTAGGTGGAGCGCCCCATGGGGCCACGAAACGTGTGAGGGTGTGCCGAAATGAATGGCCAGGACGCATGCGAACTGCGCCACTGGGACCGTAGGTGGAGCGCCGCATGGGGCCACGAAGCGTGTGGGGAGTGTGCCGAAATGGTGGACATGCGGAGAGCAGAGGCAGGGATGGGAGGAGGGAGGAGGGAGGAGGGGGCAGCGGGAAGTGAGTGGACGCGGGGCGCTGTCTCTTCAAAACGAGGACCCATCACCACAATATGGTTGGGAAAAAGACCAGACGAGGATGCAGAAAATAATCCGCAATCGAATCCGCGCGGACAGAATTCGGATCCACCGAAACACAAACCAAAACCACATTTGGACCCGTGCGAACCTAATGATCCGACGGCGGTTATCTCATACGCGTCTACTCAAGACTTCAAACCATCGTTCTGGGCCCAAGAGGAAACACTTTCGTCCTGGGGATGTATTCCAGCGTCATTTCTAAAACAGGTCTCAGCACCTCTCAGAACAACCAAAACAATCACAATGGTGCTCATACATCTTCCCCTGTCTGCACTTTTTTTCAGAATTTCGAACGGCATCATTGACAAAATGTGCTATTATAGTGAGGAAGACGAATCCGTCCTACATCACACTCCAACATAACGACAGACATGTGACATGTAGATAGCTTAGTTTTCCCAAGTGCGTTGGCATCTTTGCAACAGATGCGTTCAACTGATTGAAGGTTCGTAATGATGCTGCCAACTGTCTTAGAGACCTGTGATTGCACCGTGCAGTGTGGGAACACATCTGCGCCCACCTCTCCTCGATGAGGCCTCAACCAACTGTTCCGCTGGGTTGTTCAAAATAATGGCGGCTGCCCCGACCTGACATACACACAGCCCCTAACATTGACTCCTGAGCTTGCGTTGACGTGAACCTAGCACTTGCCACCAGCAAGGTCATGTTGTACTCTCATCAACCACCGAATCAACAGGTCGAAGCGAGGTGCAACATGTATCCCTCCTGTTGGAGAGACTCTTTCGCCCATTCCCGGTCTTCATGTCATGCCGCTGCCACTGCTGACCAGCTGGGCGTCGCCGACCCTCCCCCCTCCGTGCTTGCGGGCATGCGCGCGGTTGGTCGCCAGGATGGCGCGCAACCAATCTGACGGGCCGGCCAGATCTTGGTCTGCAGACTGGAAGCAGCGCAGGGGATGACAGGGGGCTGATGTGGACCCGGGGGGGAAAGCTGGAGCGGAGGTGGGTGGAAGCGCGTGGACCGGCGCACGCGATGCCAAAACTGACGGCGACTCCCGACTGGGAGCTCGTTCCCGTGCCGGGGACTCCTGCATAACAGATCACAGGCCTCTGTGGAAACTGTCCGAGCGAAGAGCGCGGCAAGGGAATGGACGGCAGTGGAAGGGGAGCAGGCAGCGCACTCAGAATCCTGTATCAGGAGGCACGGTTCCACTGCGCAGCTTCGCCAGATGTCCTCCTCTTCTCGAGCGGAGGAGGGCGAACCGGTTGGCTGCGCATTGGGGTGCAAGAGACGCGACGAGCACACGGACGCATCATTTTGTGTGCAAGCTGCCAAAGGCCCTGCTACGTATGCTCCTTGCCCTCGCCCGCCATCTCCCCCGCCCTCCCAACAAAGCAAGAGTGCAAGATCAAATGGACTGAGCGTGCTCGACATGTCGATCCCGCGTGCGCCGATGCTGTACCCCAGAGCTGCACTTTCTCGTGCAACGCAGGCGGGATGGTTCTCCTGGGCGGTGACCCTTCTTCTGCTTCTTTCCCCACAAGCTGTTGACGTCCATCAGCACGGCCTGCAGAATGAGAATCCCGCCCTCCTTGCCACCGCGCGCGTCCACCACCAGCTGGTCCTGCGGCCAGAAGCAAGGCAAACGGTCGAATCATATGCATTGCTCTAGCCTCCGCCCACACCTTGTCACTGTCGCGCTCGAACCCTTCAACTCGCCAAGTGAGCGACGATCGGAAAGGGGTCTTGCGCGGGACGACAGGGCGACCTTACGCGGCGTCTTGCGCGGGCCGCCAGCGCGGCACGCCACATGAGAGACGAGGGCTCTCACGCGCGACCTTACGCGGGCAGCTTACGCGCCAGTGTCGGCGTAGTCGAACCCGATGTTTTACGTCGCTCACGTGCCCGTCCTCGAGAAAGCGCGTCTCCACGAAGGAACTCGCACTCTCAGGCTCCGAGACCAGGCCTGGGCGTGTATTTTCTGCTCCGAGGCGGGGGCCAGGAGGCGCCCCCCAGCTTCCAGACGCCAAGCCGCCAAAAGTCAAGAGACGAGGTGGGGGACATTCGGGGAGAGACTTGGAAGGGACCTGGGCGACGATCAGAAACTGGTCTTCGGCGAGATGCCATAGCGATCTTACGCGGTGGCTTACGCGGACCGCCAGCGCGGTACGCCACATTGGAGAAGAGGGCGCTTACGTGCGAGCTTACGCGGGCCACTTGCGCGCCAATGTCGGAGCGGACCTGTTTTTTTGTTCGTCGCCCACTTGGCGGCGACCACAAGGGGGTGGCGCGACCGGACCGCCTTGTAAGAAGGCGGGTGGTGGTGGTGGTTCCGAGGTCCTGCGGGAGAGCACACCGGCGCTCTCGCGCCAGGCGCGCGCTCGCTCCATGAGTCGTCAGGGCGAGGGTGCCGAGCGGCCGCTCCTGGGAGCGAGGCGGAAGACGTGGCATGGCGCCGGGTCCTCGAGCTCCTCCGTGCCCTCCTCCCCCCCCCGCCCGGGCGGCGACCCGCCCAGGACCCAGCGCCCGTCCGCTTGGCCTAACACCTCCTCGCCTTTCGGTCAGCCCCGACCTGCCAACACGTCTGCTGATGGCTCTGCCGGAAGAACCGAGAGGCACCGACACCACTGCTCCCTGGACCTCTCCCGGGGCGCGTTCTGACCGTGATTTCGAGGCGAATTCAACGGTGGCGACGAGGGCCTCCCCGGAGGCCCACATAAAGGGGCAAACGGCGCAGGGGTAGCAGTATTGGTACCTCTTCCTCCTCTGCTCTTTTTGGGTTCGAGACACCAGCTGTGATGACGCGACGCCTAGCACGTAAACAATCTCTCCGGCCCGAAGCGCGCTGCCGAAAATCCCAGCCTGGCCGGAAGCAGAGGCGCGGCCGCTCGGGGCGAAACAAATCAATATACATCACCTCGATACGGGCACCCTGGCACCGCCAGAGGCTCCACACTGTACACGCTGTGAAATTCGGCTCTGGTTCGGCCCCCTCTTTGCTCCCGAATCCGCCGACCCCTTGTGGGTCTATAGGCGTGCGAGATATTCCCCCCCCCCCCCCCCCCCCGCGGGGACCCCAAACCGGAGATTTACCCCCCCCCCCGGCCGCGCCAAACCCCGGACTGAACGCGCCACTGGCGGGCAGAGGGCCCTAAAACAAGCCAAAAGGGCACCCGGACACCCCCAAGACGGTCCACGAGGCCTCCAAGACGCACCAAAAAGGCCGCCTACACGCCCCAAGAAGCCTCCCAAACGCCCCAAGAGGCCTCCAAGAGGCCCCAAAAAGCCTCCAGGACGCCCCAAGATACCTCCAAGAGGCCTCTAAAAACGGCCCCAAGAAGCCAAAATCGTTGATTTGTATTGTTTTGTTTTAGCTGTTTTTCCGTTTCTCGCCTTTTCATCTCCCCGACGCCCCAAGACCGCCCATGAGGCCCCCAAGACCGCTCCAAGGCGGCGCAAACAAAAGTACCCACGACGCCCCCAAAACAGCCCAAGAGGGCCGCCAGACGGCTCAAGAACCGCCAAAGACGGCCCAAGAGGCGCCCGAAACGGGCCCAAGAGGGCCCCCTGACAGGGACCACGAACCGAAACATCCAGCATTCCGCCCCAAGAAGCCTCCAGGAAACCCGAAGAGGCCCCAAAGAGGCCCCAACAACCGCCCAAAAAACTTCCAAAACGCCCCATGAGGCCCCCAAAACGCCTCCAAGGAAGGCCCCTGTGAGCCTTCTGAACTGCTTTCAGAAAGCCCGCGACAAGCCTCCCCGCAAGATCCCCGCGGGCATCCCCGAAGGCACCGGCGGATCGAGTCGCGCCCAGCCGCGGCGACGACCAGGGCCCCCGAAGGTGAGGTTTTCTTCTCCGTTTCCTCCGTCGCGCATCCCGAAAGCCCACCAGAAATCTGAGTACTGACGCGTGCACCAGGTCGTGGCTCCTCCTCCTCGTCCTCCTCTTCCTCCTCCTCCTCCTCCTCCTCCTCCTCCTCCTCCCCCTGCTCATCTTCCTCCTCCTCTTCCTCCTCCTCCTCTTCTTCCTCCTCCGTTCACCCCCTTCCGCCTCTCACCCATCCTTCCCCTCCTCCTCCTCCTCCTCCTCCTCCTCCGCTTTCCCCATCAATGCTTCCTTTTTTCATCGGCTTCGTCTCCCCTCTCATTCTCACCCCCACTGGTCCTACTTCAACGGTATCATTTGTATGCCTTGCATTTTAGGATGCCCTTATTCTCCTCGCGCGCGACGTGGCTACTGTCCACGGAGAAAACCGACTTCGGCAATTTCTCCTGGCACGTGCCACCACATTGATAGGCTTGCCAACTGCGCGCCGTGAACCCGTCGGCAATGCAATCTGCGCATGCAACTCTTCTCTTCCTCGTGAAGTGTTTACTCTCTTGTTCGTCGCTGCTGTGCTGCTGCCGAGCGAACTCCTTCTTGCATGACGCACACGTCAACAGTCGCTTCAACGGCATCGGCTCACTGGCTACCCCCTTGACGGTCTCGCCGCGTTTGATACAGTCCTCGCGCACCACTCTGTCTTCCCTCGTCGCCTGGTCTCGACTCAAATGGCCTGCCTCCTGAAAACTCATCCCGCTTCCTGGCGCGCAGCACTTCAACGGCTCCGCCTCTGCCTCCGCCTCGCGTTTTCTATTATTGGACTCGCGCGTCGACCTCTCGCGTTCTTCCGCGCATTTCCGACGCAGCCGCGCTCCCGCTGCATTGCGCTTCTTCTGAGCATCCAACACTTCCGCCTGCTCATCAAACAGCGCCAGGCACGTCTGGCTCGAACATCGCACTCCTGATGCTCTGTCCTTCCACTTCGCGTCGGCCGCGAGCGACTTTTGCTTTGCCTTGACATCGGTGCACTTAGCACAATTGAAGGTCCGAGTCTTCTTCGCCTCCTCCCCGTCGCCACTGCCCCCCGCGCCACCATCGCCGCCCCTCCGGGCGCGCCCGTCGCCCTCCGCTTTCGCAGCCCATGTGTTGCGCGTGTCGCGCCATTTCTCGCCCCGGATCTTCATTTCGGCGGTGCGCTCTTTACAGAAGGAAGGCCTCTGTTCCCGCTGAAACTCGTACTTCTTGAACGCCCCCACCGGCAGCCTGCGTCAGCGCCGCTCGCACTGGTCTCGCGGCATCAGCTTCGCCTCCCACTCATCCCATTCTATGCTCTCCCCTCGTAGCACCTGCAACAACTTCTGCGCGCCCGGTATTTCCCCTTCGCTGTGCGGCTTCCTATCGCAAGGCCTGAAGATCAGTCAATTCTCCCGCCTCCGCACCCGCGTTGCGGCGACGTAACTGGAACTCCAACTTGCGCCGCGCCCTCGCTTCATATCCGCTATAACTGCGGCCGTTGTCCGTCCTTGCGCGGCGCGCGCCGCCACTGCCGGCGCTGGCGTAATCGTAAACTGCGTTCGCTTCACGCCCGACACTGGGTGCTTCCGATACCCGCCCAAAAACCACCGCCGCCCCTTTGATGGACAAACTGGATGCATCCCCAGCTCCCAACCTGGCAAGTGCCATTCCTTCGTGTGGATGTCTAACACAATGACTCCTGGCAAGTGCAACAACGCTTCATCTTCGTCGTCTCCCGCGACGTCGTCCTCGTGCACTACTCGCCCATGAATCGTCGCTGTGCCCCCCCGCAGTAGCTGCTTTTTCGACCAATCCAAGTGATCTCCTCACGCCACGGGCACGCCCTTCGCCGACGGCAGCCACCCGGGCAAGCTTGCGCACTCGTTTCGCGATAACCGAGCCACCGTATCTTGTCCTCCGCAGTGCACGGCCGCCTCTGTCCCCCCCCCATGGCGCGGGCGATCGCTCGCCGCGACCCATGGGAGCTGCTCCCCTTGCTCCTTCGCCCACTGCGCAGCTCTCTGTTTCCCCGCGCGGCACCGAAAGTCCTGATTGGCATAGATCGTAACGGCTTCCACGAATTTCCCCTCCCCGGATCGCGCGTCTTCCGGCGACGTCGCAACGAGTTTCCTCCCTCTCGCTCAGCCTTGCAAGCCGCGCGCTCCAGGTCGTTCTTTTTGGGGATTTCCTGCGCGTTTGCTCGGCGCTGCGTGTCCCCACGCTGCGGCGCGCCGTTCGCCTGCGACCCTAGCGCGCCCGTCGGCCGCCCATGCAAGAAATTGCGCGTTCTTTCCGCCATCGCGCCTCGACGAGACTCGTCTTGCACCAAAGGAACCGCTCGTCTCGGTCCCCCACGCGGTTGCACTCCGTCAGCTCCGTTTTTCTCTGTGACTCCCCAGAAGACGCGCTGCCCGTGGCCCCCCGTGGCCCCCCGCGGCTGCCCGTGGTCATTCTTCAGATCTGACGTCGGCAGCGCATTGATGGCTGTTCCCGGCGGCGGCTCCAGCTGATAGAAATCTCAGCAGAACAACGCGTTCACGCCCCCGAGCGGCCTGTCCACGCCGTCGGCCCCAACCTTCCAGTCGCTGGCTGCTGACATGCGCGACCGCAGATGCGAATCAAGCTCTGCAAGGAAGTTCGCGCACACCATGCTCACCTCGTCAACTATCAGCCACTTCCACTGCGCCATCCGCTGCGCGGTTATTTCCTTTTTCGCGTTCTGTCTCGCTTCTGCGCCTCCATCGCCCCCCGAGCTCGGGCTTTTTGTCTAATTCACGCCCGTGC